CAGGTATCTGGGCTTTGTTTAGCTTCTATAATTGCAACATAGTTGCTTAGAGTGCAGCTCAGAGCTGGGTGGCGGCAGGCGGGGAACCTTGGCTTCCTCCATCACTGGAGCAAGCAAGCCTCCTGTTCACTTCAGCTGCTTGACTGCCGGCCACCATCTTGGTTGGCAGATAATTTGCATATCGCCCTGACTAGCCAATGGAAAGCGTGTCGGAGGTACGGTTAATTACCATGTTTGTCTATTATTAGATAGGAGAGAGAGAGAGAGAGAGAGAGAGAGAGAGAGAGGGGGGGGGCCAATGCACAAAATTCATGCATGGAGGGAGTGTCCATCAGCCCAGCCTGCACCCTCTCTCAATCTGGGACCCCTCGGGGGATGTCTGACTGCCAGTTTAGGCCCAATTGGCACTTGGCCTAAACTGGCACTTGGACATCCTTCTCACAATCCGGGACTGCTGGCTCCTAACTGCACACCTGCCTACCTGCCTGATCGCCCCTAAACACTCTGCCTGCCTGCCTTATTGACCCCAACTGCTCGCCTGTCTGCCTGACTGCCCCTAAAAACCTCCGCCTGCCTGCCTGATCACCCTTAACCACTCACCTGCCTGACTGATTGCCCCTAACCACTCTGCCTTCCTGCCTGATTGCCCCTAACTGCTTGCCTGCCTGCCTGATCACCCCTAACTGCCTCTGCCTCAGCCCCTGCTGCTGCGGCTTCGTCCAGAAGGACATCCAAAATGACGACTGGAAGGTCATTCGGCTGTCCCATCTAATTAGCATATTACGCTTTTATTATTTCATATATATATAAAATCTCTTCTGGGTCAACCCAAGCTGAATGGGAGTGAGCACTAAATCCCTGTATAGCGATCACAAATCAAAGAGCTCATCAATATTTCTCAATTTTTTAATAGTATAGAAAGAAGTATATGCTGCTGCCCCAGCAAATTTTTGTCCTGGACCTCTGATGTAGCGCTACAGATAAATGATCTCCCCAAGCCTAACTTCATGAACTCATCCTACCCCAGGTCCCACTCAGAAGGCACTCACAGAACCAAAGCAGTGAAACTGCCTGTGATTTGGATTTTATCCACAGAGCCCCAGTTGAGGTGGCCAGCCCCCATGAGGCTGCCTCACTGTGTCAAAGTGAGGCCATCAGACACTGCCTCTCTCTCTTACCTGGAGTGAGTGTTCATTGCAGCCTCTTGCCAAGGCAAGATGTAGCCTCCTCTGATATGAAGGTTGATGTGGTCAAGGGGAGCCTCCAGGATTCTCCACTCACCTGTCGATGTATTGCCAGATTCCTAGAATGGAGAATGCAGGCAAGCATCTATAATAGATGGATGAAATGAATGCATGCTATACAACAAGTCCTTCCTTCCCAAGGAAGTGTTTTTGGAAAGTTATCAAAATACTGCAAATTGAGCCCTAACCGGTTTGGCTCAGTGGATAGAGTGTTGGCCTGCGGACTGAAAGGTCCCAGGTTCGATTCCAGTCAAGGGCATGGTTGCGGGCATATCCCCAGTAGGGAGTGTGCAGGAGGCAGCTGGTCGATGTTTCTAACTCTCTATACCTCTCCCTTCCTCTGTAAAAAATCAATAAAATATATATTTTTAAAAATACTGCAAATCGAAAAAGAAAATCTCTGATTTTCAGCTTTGCTGAAAACTCTGGAAATCTAGTCTTTTCTCTTTATTCTCCAGAAAAGGTAGGGTGTGGGGGAGAACTCAATGTGATATGGGTATCAGATTTTACCTAGTTATGCTTTTATGGATATTTTTTATTGATTTTTTTTGAGAGAGAGAAAGAAAAACATAAATGTGAGAGAGGAACATTGATTGGCTGCCTCCCACACACCCCCAACTGGGGATGGAGCCCTCTACTTGGGCATGTGCCCTGACCAAGAATTGAACCAGCAACTTTTCGGCACATGGGACAATACCGTGTACTACACCTGCCAGGGCATTTTATGGACACTTTTATTTAAAGAAATCTTGCAGGACTGAAAAGTTGAAAATTATTGCTTTATAAAATAGGTGCCTGGAATTCAGGAGACAACTTCCTAGCCTGCATAGACCAACCTGGTTCTTCACAAAACATGTTAGTTCTTACCATGCTATAGTCATACCAACGGGCTCTGGGGAAATAAGCATGGACCTCAAAAGTGTTCTGAAACAGAAAACCAACAGGTCATTACAAATATCTCAATAATGTCACTTTAATTTTTAAAATTCTGTAGAATTAACATAAAAATGGGAATTTCACTAATGATTTTAAGAGTTTGGGTAATTTTATTAAGAAAGATCCCAGGAAATTCATTTCAAACACACAGAAAAATATTTTTTTTAAAAAGGTCAACTTTATAAGGATGCAAGGTGACAAGACATTAAAACAAGAAGCTAATTGAAGATGTTAAGTTTTCATTAACAAAGACCTCAAAAAAAGAAAAGGATTTCCCTGAAATATTCTAGAAGTAGTGAGCTGAACAAGATGATCTTTCAAATGTCCTTCCTGTTTCCTATATGTGATTGGAGGGTCTATGATCTATGATGGGAACTCACACTTGTCAGCACGGGGCTGATTAAGACGGCAGGGCCCAGCATGAACTGACGGTCTATATCCCACGTTGTCCTATCTTCTCTAAACCTTAAAAAACAGGCATAAAATGTCTACTCAGATTGTTATGACTGTTGCAGAGGGTTATTCATACAACATGCCCAGACCTGCTGCTTGGGGAAACAGGCTCTACTCACTCATGGAGGAGAGGGCGGACAACAGTGCTGCCCTCAACGTGAGCTTTGTGCATCAGAGTATAGAGGTAAGGCAGCAGGGTGTATCTGGTCTGGAGGACTTTTCTTGAGTACGTCTGAAAGGTTGAATTCCAGGCCACAGGATCTTGTCTCTAAGGGGATAAAGGAGCATATCACACAGATCACCTCTTTTTTACTCTATCCTAATGGTATCAGAAAAGTACCTGAAGGCACATGTCCCATGGTTAGGCTACACACCATTTCTCCTTTCATTTCTAGCCTATCCTTTCCCCCACTCCCACCACCTTAATAAACTAGAGTGTCCTGCTTCTTCCTCTCTATCATGGGCTCCTTAGTCCCCTGCTCAGGTCTAGTCTTGACCCTGCACATGTGTAGAGAGATGGGTCTCTATGAGGCACTAACCTATCTTGGATGGATTTGAGCAAAATACATACTCGCTATTTTTAAAGGCAAAGGAAATTTCTTTTATTTCAGCCCCATAGGGCACTATCAACTATTCCACCAAAAGATGAGGAAAAGTATATTCTTGAAAATCATTGGTAATCATAGTTTTTTTTTATTAACTCTGTGGGTTTTCTTAAGAAATGGAGATTCTGTTGATTTTTATGAGTTTTCTCAACAAATAATTATGATACTTTTGAGCATTAAAAAGAAAGTTGTGATTTGAGGACACAAAACACCTGGGGCATAAACTGCTGCCTCACCCTTGTCCCGATGGTGTTGTGGTTTCTGGAAAATGGATAAAATGCCCCCAGTTGCATCCAGCGAAGACACATCTCATATTCAGCATTTCCCAAGAATCCACAGATATTTGCTCCTGTCTGAGAAGATCAGGGCAAAATCAGGGCAAGAGGTGGGACTGTTGTAGGTGCAGACACACTGAATCTGACTGGGTCATTAGTAATGGCCCCAATATGACTTACATAAGGTATTCCAAAGAGACTGAACTCCATCATGCCTGCAATGAGAAGATATAGCTGTGTTGGACTAAGCAGTCCTTTGGGAGGGTAGGTTTGCCCTGACTCTTTTGTCCCCCATTTGAAAGCCTTGGGCCAGTCATGATGAACAAATAAAAAGATGGGTATAGATTAAAACACACACCAATAGAGAACTCAGCACCTGTTGATCACGCTGTCTACAAGCATGATGATTAGACACAACCCATGCAGATGAGGAGCAAACATCCCAGGCTCTTCCCCGCCAGCAGAAGCCCCTGGGATAAGCCACACACCAATGATAGACTTCCTCAGCTGGTCCCATGCAGCCGTGTTGTCTCCCAGCCAGTGTCCTGCCCAGCGGCCAGAAGAGGGGAACGTGGAGCGGGTAATGACGACCCCTCGCTGATCAGTCACCTCCTGCACAGCTCTGGTTGGAGGGGAACAAAGAAGGGGAAGAAAGTGAATTTGAGGATTGATATCCATGGAACTTCATTAAGGAGCCTAGCTTCAGCCTGGAGCATGAGGTGGCAATGGGGCTCAATTTTAGCCAGAGAACTTCTTCCCTGAAAGCATCTGCTATTTAATAGTGACGCTAAGAATCCCAGTGAACTTCAGAACCAGACAATTGGAGATATGGCATCACCTAAAATGTAAATTTCCTTTCTTAAAAGAAAATCTAGCACTGGCCAATGTGGTTCTGTTGGTTGGGCATTATCCATGCACTGTGAGGTCGCCTTTTCAATTCCAGTCCTGGTCAGGGCACATGCCCGGGTTTCGGCCTCAATCCCCAGTAGGAGGCATGCAGGAGGCAGTCGATCAATGTTTTGTTCCCTTCCTCTCCCTCTAAAAATCAATTTTAAAAAATCTTTTAAAAATCTAGTTAACTAGCTGTCCATATGGGAGTAGGGAGAGGGGGTAGGACCGATGTAATTATGGAACAATTACTCTATTCCAGGTATTATATCGGTTACTTTCATGTGTACTGTCGCACTACCTCACAAGAAAGGTTCCTTTTACCATTTTGTACTGTTTGGAAACTGAGGCTCAGAGAAGTTAGATAATTAGTCAAAAGTCACTTAAACAGCAAGAAGACAGATTTGGGATCCAAATAAAAGCATATATGACTATAGCTTTTTTGGTAATATTCACTCTCCCATGCAACTCCTCAAAAAGCAGAATCAATTTTGCACACAAAAGCAAATATATAGAAAAGATGTTTAAGTATTTCTTGATTGAAGGTGGATCTTTGCCTGCAGCCTTAGTCAGAAAATACAAACGTGTGAGAGAAAAATCAGTGGAACAAAAGAGAAAGTCAATTAACAGATGCTATTATATGAGGCAACACAAATATTTGCTAAATGCAGCACTACAAATCAATAGACACAGATGACTGATTCAATAAATGATGTCAGGAAAAGAAGCCAGCTATTGTAGTGGAAACGAACCCATTTAGGTGACTTCCAATATTTCACACCACAGTGAATCCCAAAATGGATGGAGATTGTATGCATGCGTGCACATGTCTGAGTGAGAGATAATAAAGGCCTGACATAAGGCAGGGATGTATACAGTAAGGATGGATGGATGTGGATGATGTGAACAACTTTGCTATTGACCATTTCAGAACTCTAGAAATTAACCAGACACAGAAAGAAGTGAAAAATCGTCTCTCCAGGAGAAACTACTAAATCTTGGCAAGACAGTGAGTTATATGGGATTATAACTTGGTCTATTTCTAGCCCAGCCCTTCCCTAGCTCACTGGCACCAAAAGCCAGCAGTCTTGCAGCAAAATGAGAGGTCTGACCTTTTTTGAAGCTTTGTTAAAAGCTCCATCCCCATGGCACAATAAAATGTTTATTTCTAACTTCCAGTCCCCTGGAAAATCTCCATTCCCAGGGTGTGGTGGCTATTTGATTAGACTTGGAGCTCAACTCAGCAGAGAGAGAAAACACCCACACACAGGGAATTACTAAAACAGCAACAATTTTCTGGCAACATCACAGGTGCTCAGGCTGCGGTTTCAGTTGGGGCAAACAAAAGCTTGGCTGGTAATTTAAAAGTAAATCCTAGAGAATTAGAAACTTTTTAAAAACAAACAAACAACAACAACAAAAGTTCAAAGCCAAAAGCTTTTCTGAAAACAAGGTTTATTGAGCCACATGTTAGCCAGAAAAAGGACGAGGTCCTGGGGAATCGGCCTACACCGCCAGCAGCAGGGCTGGATGGAGAAGCCAGCGTGTCCACCACCACCACAGAGAACTTTGTCAAGTTCCTCCATATTCCTGGGGATCGTAAAGACTGCATAGTGCATGCCCAAGAAAGAACCAGGAAAGGAGAAGGTTCCAGTGACTTAACTTCTGGCTGCATTCAAACAGGCAGTGAAAGGTAACGCTGTCTTACAAACTGCCTGAAGTCTGAAGCTGTGCCCACTTATGCCCTTGGCAAAAGGGTGAAAGACATAGAGGCATTTAAGGTGACTAAGATGGCTTTAACGTTTTGCTCAGCTGGACTAAACCTTAGGCAGGCTTCTTCTTGACTCTAGAACCAGACCTTGACCTCCCTTTAGAGCAGTGGTTCTCAACCTTCTGGCCCTTTAAATACAGTTCCTCATGTTGTGACCCAACCATAAAATTATTTTCATTGCTACTTCATAACTGTAATGTTGCTACTGTTATGAATCATAATGTAAATATCTGATATGCAGGATGGTCTTAGGCGACCCCTGTGAAAGGGTTGTTCGACCGCCAAAGGGGTCGCAACCCACAGGTTGAGAACCACTGCTTTAGAGCATTTAGTTTAGAAAATTTTAACTGGAACTTCTTTCTGTAACCCTTTGAGATATAAATCTTTTAAAAAGACTCAGACTTTTTCTGGTTTTACAACCCAAATAAGTCTTTCCCAGGGACCTGGGAGCTCTCCCTTTGAAATGTAATCAGCAAGGAAGACAGTGCCCTGTCCAGAGTCTCTATAATGGCGACAAGGAGCATAACTTCAGCAGGGTCTCCTTGCTCCAAGTTAAAACCTCCTGTCATGACAGCAGGTTCAATTAACTTTTCCTTCGAGTAAGGCCAATTAGCAAACACAGGAAACCTATGAATGCCCCACTCCAGTTGTCAAGAACTCTTAAGACCTTCAATAAAAAAATCTTTTAAAAAGCCCTGTTAAGCATCTTCCCATGCACTGAAAGATTGCTGGTCAGGACACAATCCCAGTAGGGGGCGTGCAGGAGGCAGCAGATCAATGCTCTGCTCTCACATTCTCTTTCTCCCTATCTCTTCCCCTCTCTCTAAAAATCGATAAAAATTCTTTAAAAAAAACATACCAGCAAAAAAAAAATACCTCTCCAACATTTGTTTCAATAAAGTTGAGTTCAAATTGAGTTCTGGTCTCTCTCTCTCTCTCTCTCTCTTATTGTAATAGCCTTGAATAAAGTTTTCCTGGTCTGTTTAACTGTCCAGTGAAAGTTTTGCTTTGACAAAGGAAACTTTCCTACTGATCATTATCTGATCACTGAATTATACTGAATAATATCCAACGGTATCCAAGGAAGCCAGGCTTAAGAATTGAAAGAGAACTTTTAAAAAAGAGGGTATTGAAGAATTCAGTGGCCACAAACTGCAGGGGAACTGAGAATATACAGAGTTAGACAGAAACGCTGCTAAACAAATAAGCAACAAGTGAAAAAACAAAAAGAGCAACAACAAAAACAAGGTAGCTTTTATGCCAGAGTTGTTACAGTGCATTATGTAACATTAAGTCATGCAAAACAAAACAAAAGCACATGAAGAGAGAACAGTATGGAGTTTCCTCAAAAAACTAAAAATGGAACTCCCATTTGACCCAGTGATCCCACTTCTAGGAATATATCCCAAGAAGCTAGAAACACCAATCATAAAGGATATATGCACCCCTATGTTCATAGCAGCACAATTCACCATAGCTAACATTTGGAAACAGCCTAAGTGCCCATCAGCAGATGAGTGGATTCTAAGTGAAATAAGCCAGTCAGAGAAAGATAAATACCACATGATCTCACTCATTTGTGGAATATAGAGAACAACATAGACTGATGAACAGGGACAGATCCAGAGACAGAGAAACAGTGATCAGACTGTCAATCCCCAGAGGGAAAGGAGGGGAGGGTGGGGGTAAGGGGGAGAGATCAAACAAAGGACTTGTATGCATACATATAAGCCAAGCCAATGGACACAGACAACAGGGGGTTGAGAGCAGGAGTGGGGGGGAGGAGTTGAGGGTTAATGGGGGGATGAGGACACATTTGTAATACCTTAACCAATAAAGAAATTTAAAAAATTTTTTAAAAGCACATGAAAGTATGTCAGATACACAAGAAAAGAAAAAACAACCAACAGAAAATGTTATTGAGGGGCTTGGTAGACAAAGACTATAAGTTAGTTATTACATGTCCAAAGAGCTTAAAGGAAGCATATCTAAATAATTAACAGAAAGTATGACAATGATTTCCTGCTAAATAGAGGATGTCAATAAAGTGACAGAACTTGTTTAAAAAGGAACCAAATAGAAATTCTGGAGTTGAAAAATAAAATAACTAAAATTTACTGAAGAGACTGAGCTCAACATCCGATGTGAGCTAGATAACAAAAGAATCAGCAAAATTGAAGATAGCGATCCAGTTTGAACAGCAAAAAGAAGTAAAAATGAAGAAATGTAAGCAGAATTTGAGAAACCATCAAATGTACCAACATACATATAATTGGACTCTGAGAAAGAGAAAAGAAAGAGAAAGGAGTAGAAAAATATTTTTTAAAAATAATGGCTAGACAAAGAAGGGAAGGAATTAGCTAAAGGAGATATATGCATACCCATGAACACAGACAATAATTTGGTAAAAGCTAAGGAAGAGGTAGGTGGGGGAGGGTGGATGTTGGAAAAGGAAGTGCTGGTAGAAGGGAGGACTCCTGCAATAATGTCAACATGAAATATTTTTGAATAAAAATAAAACAAATAAAATTAAATTAAAATAATGGTCAGAAATATATACACTGAAAACTATAAAACATTGCTGAAAGAAAATGAAATGAGATCTAAAGAAATGGGAAGACATCCCATGCTGATGGATCAGAAGACTTACTATTATGAAGATGGAAATACTCCCTAAATAGCTCTACAGATTCAGTGCAATCCCAACCAACATCCCTGTTACTGTTTTGCAGAAATTGACAAGCTAATCCTAAAATTCATATTAATTGCAAAGCACCCAGAATAATTTTTAAAAAACCTTGAAAAAAGAATACAAAAGGCAACCTACTGTATGATTCCATTTACATGTATATGAAGTGTCCAGATTCAGCAATCTATGTATATAGAAGGTAGATCTGTGGTTGCTCAGGGTCAGAAGGTAGGGACAATGGTAGAAAATGACTGCTATAGGGTTGGTATAGAGTTTCCTTTTAGGATGTTAAAAAATGTTCTAGAATTTGATTGTAGTTATTGCTGTACAATTCTATGAATATACTAAATACAGCCTAACTGTTTACATTATTTTTTAAATTAAGTGTATTTGACATATAACATTGTATAAATTTAAGCTGCACAACATTAATTTGATACATTTATATATTGTAGTAAGATTTCCATTATAGCAATTATCAGCACCTGCTCACTTTATTTTTATTGAATTAATTGGGATGACCTTGGTTAATAAAATTATATAGGTTTCAGGTGTACAATTCTATAATACATCATCTGTATATTTTATTGTGTGTTCGCTACCCCAAATCAAGTCCTCTTCTACCACCATTTATCCCCTCTTTACCCTCTTCTGCCTCTCCTCACCCCTCCTTCCCTCTGGTCATCACCACACTGTTATCTGTGTCTATGAGTTTTGTTTTTTGTTTTTGCTTAATCTTTTCATAGTTTTCACTCAGCCCCCCAACCCCACGCCCCTCTGACAGCTGTCAGTCTGTTCTCTATATCTATGAGTCTGTTTCTATTTTGTTTGTTAGTTTATTTTGTTCATTAGATTCCACATAAAAGTGAAATCATATGTGTACCTGCACATTTTAAACAGGTGAATTTAGCAACCTACTTGGTTAATACAACTCAGAAGTGGTATGGCTGCTTAGGAAACCACTCCTGCTATTTTGACATTCATCCATTTAATATATATAATTTATTTATTTATATATGACAAGACAAAAGTAACAGTGTGGAAAATGACCCTTCTGACAGTGACTAAGCATACTCACTCGTATGTGGGTCTGGTCTGGGACCACCCGTACAGGCTGTGCACATCGTAGTGCCGCACCCGGGAGCCGTCGGGCAGGATCTGCTCGCTCTCCATGCACAGGGTCTTGCTGCTGAGACCCCTGTCCCTGGACTCCAAATCTAAGAGGAAATGCTGAGTTATATTCTGAACAACTTGATCTGCACATTCACTAGAAATGCCCATCATCTTGGCATGGCTCTCTTTCAAACAACACCTTCATCACCAGTAGCAGCTCCAATTTCAAGAATTTCTTTTGTCTAATAAAAACAACCATGTTCTGTGACCTTGTAACTAATGAAGAATAAGGGCAGGGAATGGAGCTGGTAAAGGCATCCTTCTTTATGCTCCAACTCTAACATTTATAGAGTATGATCCATGCTCCTTTATCAGCATCATACACTCTTCTGTTTTATGACTGTATCTTCCACTAGATGGTAATGTTCTCAAGGGAATGAATCTTGTTTCAACCAACTTTATATTCATCTTGCTAAATCATTCTGATTTGTCAATACTTGCCTATACACAAATCTTACATTAAGGGAAGAGGAGAAAATAAGGAAGGAAGGAAAAGGAAGGTAGGAAGGAAGGAAGGAAGGAAGGAAGGAAGGAAGGAAGGAAGGAAGAAGGAGGGAGGGAGGAAGGAAGGAAGGAAGGAAGGAAGGAAGGAAGGAAGGAAGGAAAAAGGAGGGAGGGCCGAAACCGGTTTGGCTCAGTGGATAGAGCGTCGGCCTGCGGACTGAAGGGTCCCAGGTTCGATTCCGGTCAAGGGCATGTACCTTGGTTGCGGGCATATCCCCAGTAGGAGATGTGCAGGAGAGAGGGAGGGAGGGAGGGAGGGAGGGAAAGAGGAAGAAAGGGAATTACCAAACAATAGGAAACATAGCAATGATGTAGACATTAAAAAACTTGGATTCCAGATTTCATCCCCAAAATTACTGGTATAGTGCTTGTAGGAAGGTGAGTCACTTCCTTCTCATGTTTCTGTAAGGTGAGAGAGTTCAACTCTCTGAGATGCCTTTGATCCCCAGGTCCTGTAGTCTCTATTGCTGTTTGTACCATAGGACAACCTGGGCATGCCCTTCATCAAGTGTCTGTGAACACAGGCAGAGAGAGTGCAGGGACTAGATTTTCATTCTCTAATCGAAAGTGTGTGTGTGTGTGTGTGTGTGTGTGTGTGTGTGTGTGTGTGTGTAGGGGGTTACTTAAAGTTTTAGCAATCAGTTCATAGTTATAGATTTAATCAGATGTACCATTCATTGCTTGGATTCTTTCATACCACATCAAGTCATTATTTCTATGCTTGATCCATAATTTATGTATTTGTACTTATTCAAGGTTATTCTATTTGGGATTTTTATCTCATGTTTAAGAGTGTTTTCTCTCTCCAAAATGAGGCTTCACTTTGACAACAAGAGGAAAACGTAAGGGGTTTTGAGCAGGGCAGTAATTTAAGGAAGCAATCATTTTACATACATGGCATATACGGTGGCTTATTAAGAATTTCATCACGGCAGCCACTGACAGATCCATCCACAAAGTTTGATGGCTCATTCTTATCCTAAAATGAATTAGCAAAAACAGATTCCATGATGTCAGAGGAGACAGAGTGTCCTTGGCTCAGGAGAACACTGCCCTCCTAGAGACACAAGGATCTTATTAAAACTCTCACACAGCTGGTTGCTTCATTGATTCCGTGGGGAAGAAACTGGGATGCTGCTATGCCTCCCATCCCTCGAGACACACAAATAGAAGAGCCTTGGACACATGTCCCAGAGACATCTCAGGAAGCCCTGGTCGTATGCCCAACTGACATGCATAACAAATATCTGAACAGGCCTTTGAAACCATTCCCTCGGAAGACTCTCTACCAGCACTGTGGTGAGCATCTATTTCACCTCAGATTCAGGCCTTCTTGCCCCTAGGTCTGCTGTATCACGGATGGTCTCTCAGGCTCCCTTACTGTTGGCTTCTGGGGAGGTTTGGCCAATGGGAGGCAGTGGCAAGAGATTAAAGGATGGGAGCTAAGAGAAGACAGGATATTTGTGCCTTTTCATATGGCATCATCTCTAGTGGTGGCATGTCTCCCCATTAGTCTCCAACGTCCTCTACCCAATATGTCCCTGGGCAGACCTACAACTCCCTCTGCTCCTCTTGGTGGTCCCAGCACCTCCATTCTGTACCAGCATCCCTCTCTTTCACTCCTCCAGCCCTAGCTACCTGCTTTGCTAGTTTCTGAATTGCCTCCTCGTGCTTGTACTTCTAGCATTTCCAAAGAAAACACGCTAAGGATGCACTTACGATCCACAGTCCATCGAACTTCAAGCTCTTTGGGTTTGTGTAAAGCTTTTTTATTTCCTCCTTCCACCAAGCAGCTGTGCTGTTACGCAGGAAGTCAGGATATGCAATGTGGGCTTTGTACATCTGGAAGAGTAACACAGGCTCTCACACTGGGTCTCTGCCTGTTCAGGAAGGGGAGTGTGGGGACTAGGAAGGGGAGGTGCTTGTGCAAAGTACTGCCACCCTCCTCTCATCCCCCCCACCACTGTGAGACCTAACCCACTTCTGCTGCTGCTTCACAGAATTTACTGTGGACACAAAGAGATCAGAGGAGGCTTTAGAGCTGCAGATGCTTTTTTTTACATTGGTCAAATGAAGGAGACCAGTCATCCAGGGAAAAGTGAGCTACAGAGTGAGCTACAAGCTGATGTGACATCAAGTGCTGAGATGAAAGACATTACTCATTTTAACTGGTTTACATGTGGACAATTCATTGAAACTCGAATACTATGTAGCTGTAAAAAGAAGTAGGATCTCTTACCATTTGCAACAGCATGGATGGAACTGGAGATTATTATTTTAAGCAAAATAAGCCAATCAGAGAAAGACAAGTATCACCTCAAATCTTGTTGCCATAAACCAACCAACTGGGGCCCAAAAAAGGAATTAAAGGAGACAAAAGAAGGAGGATAATACATAAGATCTATTGATTCATTTAAATATGATGGCTGATTAAGCATCATAGGCCAAAGATGAGTACACATCTTGGGTATGGGTGACTGGGAGACACAGATTTCAGAGCCATTCTCAAAGGTATTATTTACGGGTGTTAAATGACCAGCTGGCATACATAAGGGGTGGAACGCCAGAATATTTCCAGGCAATAAAACAAAACTCACTGATAGAGGATTAGACCTTTGACCTTGGTCTCATGAATGTTCATTAAGTAATCAGTATCACACAGATTTCTACTCATTCATAATTTATAAATTACCCAATACATTTTGCTAAGATTTATGAAGAGCCTCTTTCAATCAAAACATTGTGATGCTGATTAATTATAGGCATCTCCTCCCAATCCTTACCTCTCCCCAGACAATGTCACTGCTGTTAGGCCATTTGATGAATACATTGTTTTCCTGCCCTGTGGTGAATGGGAGATACTTGGTCTCATTGCGAGAAATGCCTGGATTCTGAAACAAAAGGGTTTAAAACAGAAAACATGAGAAAAATATTTCTAAGAAAAATGATCTCCAAAATGTGAACAATTCATGGTACAGAAAGAAATGGTAAACTTCAAAATAGACAAACAAACAAAAATACAACCCAGGTTAATTTGCCTATGTCTATTGGATAGTTGAGAGTAAAAGAATATATTGATTTTCTCTATAAAATACCCAAGGGGGGCGGGGGAGCATGCTAATGTTTGAAAAAAAATTCCTGGAGAGAAACTAGGTTAACAAGACATTGCCCTCGCATAGAGAAAGGTAATTTACTGTATTTCAATAGTGTCATAGCAATATTCCCTAAAAATGTGAAACTTCTTTCTTCTATTCTGTGGCCAGACTGTCCATCTAAAGTGGCCTTCCCATTAACTTCATCCTTTACCTGCCCCAATTACTTTCTATAATAGTATTCTATTTCACAACTGTCATATAAATCATTACTGCCTAAAATTATATTTTTAATGTTTATTAATTGGTTGTATTCCTCCAATCCTATATAATAAAAGCCTAATATGCAAATTAACTAACAGTGGAACAACCAGTCACTATGATGTGCACTGACCACCAGGGGGCAGAAGCTCAACACAGGAGCTGCCCCCAGCCTGCAGGCCCCAGGCCAGCCAAGGTGAGTGCCAGGGGAGGCCACCCCCATCATCCCACTGGTCACCCCGCAGATTGGCCCTGATCGCCAGCCAGGCCTATGAATGAATGAATTTCATGCATTGGGCCTCTAGTATTATATAATCCCTGTAAGGACATTGTCTTCTAAATGAATTTAGATTGCAAGCACACACACACACACACACACACACACACACACACACACACACCTTTTATAATGGTAATTTTCAAAGACCCAAGGCTTAACAAATACTTGAATGAATGAATGAACCGACAAACAAAAGTCAGCAAATAATGCTCTAATTTTTGGAAGCTATAAGAGAGGACCATTTGTAGGTAACTACTTCTGTATTTAATAAAGATATAACTTCCAATGTGAAATAATAAATTGGTCCTCTGGACCTTCACTAGGTTGTTTGTGAATTTAATTAAGAAGAAATAAGTCCCCTGAGCCTCACCATTGCTGGGTGATGACAAACCAGGTTTTTGAAAACCCCACAGTAAAGACAAGACTAAAATACAGCTATGCTAAGGCACAGCCTGAAATAGAGGGACTTTTTTTATTGCTGCTATATTCAGTGTTTTAGCCCACAGTTCTTCTGATTCTATCAAGAGAACAGTAACAATAAATTATACTCAGTCATTAAAAATAAAGATTGTAAAGAATCATCTTTTAAAAAACCTTTTTATTGTTTTTTCCTCCTTTATTTGCTTTTTCAAACTTAAAAAAGTAATTATAGATCCACAGGAAGTGGCAAAAATGTACAGGGAATTGTCCTATACTCTTCATCTCATTTCCTTCAATGGTGCTATTTTTAAAACATGAACACAAAAAAAATGAGATTTAAGCCTTATAAGTACCTACCAGAACAAGGACAAATCTTGTGCCATTTTTCTTCATTCGCTCCATCAGCAGACTAAGGTTTTGAAAGCTGGTGCTGAGGGTAAAATCCAGCTTCCGGTCCATGTAATCGATGTCTACATGCTGAACATCCTAGAGGAAGGGCAAGCAAGGTGTTGGGGGGTCCTGCAACAATAACCTCAGGGCACACACACTCCTCTGCCAGACTCCAGGTCTGCTGCTTGTAGACCCCAGTCCAGGCCCCTCCAAATTTACCTCATTACTCCACTAGACCCACTTGTCAATTCTGCTGATTAAATTTGCTATCTGATTCTTGCATACAGATCACCTGTTCCCATTCCTTCTGCTTCTGCCTCTCCCACACACACACACACACACACACACACTGGAATTCTCTCCCCTTTCCTTCCCTCAGTTCATGTCTTTTCCACTCTTCAAATCTCAAACATGGTAAGCCTATCAAAAAAAAGTGCTAAATGTTCAAGGGTAAAAAGCAGACTCCCCTGAGAAACAAGATTGTATACCTGTTTTCTCTTTTTTCCTCCAGTAAACCTGATTAAATTTATTCACATTTAAGAACTAGCCGAAACCAGTTTGGCTCAGTGGATAGAGCGTCGGCCTGCGGACTGAAGGGTCCCGGGTTCGATTCCGGTCGAGGGCATGTGCCTGGGTTGCGGGCACCTCCCCAGTGGGAGATGTGCAGGAGGCAGCTGATCGATGTTTCTCTCTCATCGATGTTTCTAACTCTCTATCTCTCTCCCTTCCTCTCTGTGAAAGGTCAATAAAATATATTAAAAATAAATAAATAAAAAGAACTACATTATTTTATAGCATTCTAAAATGTATATACTATTTCCTCCATCTCCAATTGTCTGGATGGTCTTTGAGATGAAAATCTTTCCTTCTCTTTTCTCAATACAATGCCAACCAACCTAGGTTTCTGCACATGAAATGTACCCAATTCAAGATTGTTGAATGATGGCTATGTGGTTAATATTCAGTTGAAACAAGAGATGTTTCTCTTTAGCTTAAAGGTGGCAATCACCTATATTGTCTTAAGACTCTAGGTCAGCGGTTCTCAACCTGTGAGTCGCGATCCTTTGGAAAACACATATATAATTACATATTGTTTTCGTGATTAATCACTATGCTTTAATTATGTTCAATTTGTAACAATGAAAATACATCCTGCATATCAGATATTTACATTACGATTCCTAACAGTAGCAAAATTACAGTTATGAAGTAGAAACAAAAATAATTTTATGGTTGGGGGTCACCACAACATGAGGAACTGTATTAAAGGGTCACGGCATTAGGAAGGTTGAGAACCACTGCTCTAGGTAAAACTTGTTTGAGGGAGCAGAGACTTGTGCATAAGTCAAAACTTAGAAAAGAATGAACCAACATATTATTAACATTGGTTGCATTGGCCAGATAAATCTATGAAATTTTTTCATCTTTTCATTTTCCTATCTTTTCTAATTTATATTTAGGAATATCTAGCATAATAGTATCTGAAAAGAAAAAATAAGTCTGGATGAATGTTTCAAATTATCTTTGATGAGGACATTGTAATAATTTATTCTCATCTTCTAATCATTAATTGTCCTCCAAATCTCAGGAGGTGAGTTAAAAGTAGAGAAAGAAAATATGTGATGAGAATTTGACTATTATAAGAGAGAATGAACATGCTATGTGTGGAATTCTGTTTGTTGACAGTAATTGACTGCACTTCTAGGGGCTATGTTTCATTGTGGGAAATGCATATATGAGTATTTGTATTTAAGTCAAAGTGAAGGCTTGAATTTATCTCCTTTTTTTCATATTGTCACTTTATATTCACCCTCTCCAAAAATAATCACAGTATAGTCTCCTAAAATTGTCATAATCTTGATATGATTCTCTCTTAGAAGTCTCCAAAGTCATGGCTTATGACTAACCATGGTTACTGTAGGATATTTCTGGCAAGAGGTAGTAAGTAACAGTATCCTTTGCTAATTTCTGATGAATGTATGCCCTCAATTTTGAACTCTTGATTTAAAAAGGGTACTGTGACTTAAATTTGAAAAGCAATGTTTCCATATAAGATTAGCTCCATAGCTACATTTTCTTTGTACTGAAGTAGTCATCAGTAATGTCTATGAAGATGTTTTCAATTTATAATTAGCCATAAGTTCCCATAACTAATTAAACCACAGGCAGGGTGAAGGCTTCATACATAGGGAATCTGGGCTTCCACCATTTCATCATACAAATTGGAGATTTCAGTATCACTCTGGTATCCATAGCGACTCAGCTGGAATCCCAAGGCCCAGTATGAAATCATTGCTGGCCGACCAATCAACTAGAATAAAAAAGAAAAACGGATCCAAGTAGATTCTTAGGGTAAAAAAAAAGATAGTTGGCTTATGCTTGAAGCAACTTCAGCACTTCTACTTACTGCCTGTCTGATCTAAGAGGTCTCATAAATGTGGAACAATTATGGAGATGCAGAATGATAGAAAGTCTCTCTATATCCTAGAGCTTCCCCTCTAAGAAACCTGAAAATTCAGTGGTTATTACTGATTAGAGATTCTTAGAAAGATTTTATAGCAAATAATTAAGAGACATATGGGATATTAATATCCTTTAACACTAAAACCCTACTCTCATAAAAAATTGTGATAATGTAGTAGGAATACTCAAGGACCATCCTATATAATAAAAACATAGTATGCAAACTGTCCCCTCGACCGGGAGTTGTCTGGGAGTTCAACAAGGGGGTGAGGCTAGCAAGGGGAAAAGATTGAGGCCCCAGCCAGCATCAGTGGTGGCAGTGGCAGGCAGCCAGGAACGGAGGTGGGGAGAGAAGAGAGGGAGTACCCGGCTGGCAGCCAGCAGCTGCTACGGACCGTACCAGTGCACAAATTTCATGCACTAGGCCTCTAGTAAAAAATAAAATTGGCCCCCTAACTGGTTTGGCTCAATGGATAGAGCGTTGGCCTGCCGACTGAAGGGTCCCAGGTTCGATTCCGGTCAAGGGCATGTACCTTGGTTGCGGGCACATCCCCAGTAGGGGGTGTGCAGGAGGCAGCTGATCGATGTTTCTCTCTCATTCATGTTTCTAACTCTCTATCCCTCTCCATTCCTCTCTGTAAAAAATCAATAAAATATACTTTAAAAAAATAATAAAATAAAATAAAATTGGCTTTTCTCAGTGCTAAGAATGTGCAATATCCAATAAGCCTTGGATGGTTAATTAATGAATACAATGAATTCTGACCTCAGTGTATTGCTGAGTTACAAGCTCGGGAGTTGGCCCCAAAAATACATAAAAGTCCAAAATCCCTCCTGTGGTGCGGTATGTCAGGGCAGGAGTAGGCTGGAATGTCACATCTGTTAAAAAAAACAAACACACACACACACACACATACAAACATGAGGAGCATCTTGAGAACTATAAATTACCAAGACAAGGACTCTGCCCTAATATTTGCTATTTTCACTCTCTTCCTTTAGAGCCCACCTCCTCTGGAAAGTCTTCTTTCATGCTGTGGAATCAGAGATGGATTTTCAGGTACCCAAACACAATCTCAATCTCAACCTTTTATAATGTTCTGTGAAAGGGAATTAAAGTGGCAAAGTCAAACAAGGTCATACCAAAGTAGAGACCATGTTTAGTCAAAATTTTATTCCCAATACCTGGCCTAGAGATTTTAATAAATCATAGATAAATGAATAAATAAAAGGTCGGGTTATGTGTTCCATTTCCCTGGCCATTGAACTTTCTTATTTCTATTGATATTCCAGATTCTGATAAAGTGGCTGCAGGAAAACTGTCTTTATCTTACCCATGGCATTACTGTTTAGCAGAAGCACTCCATGGGCATTGCCATCCTCCTCCAGTCCCATGTAGTAGGGGTGGACACCATAGGAATTCTTCTTGAACTGGGAGAGTCATGGGAGTAGATAAGTAACAAAAAGAGAAAATCCAAGAAATTCTGTCCTCCTCATAACCCAAACAGCCAACTCCTACTCAACACTGAAGATTTAGCACAATGTCATGTCCTTTATGAAAAATTCCTTGACCCTTCCTTCCACCCCAAGTAAAAAGCTAAGTGCCACCCCCCTCCATGCCCTCCTTGTTTATTATCTCTCTCACACACACACACACACACACACACACACACACACACACAC